GCCCCTGTGTAGATGGGGACCGGCAGAGTTACGGAACAGCATGAGGGGCGAGAAAGAAAACGAGGCTTTAGATCAGATAGATCAGCAAGACATAAACACAAGTCTGCTCTTTAGCTGCTAGGTGAAAACTACAGGATCTAGAATGAGGAAGAAATGTCTCGGTCCCCTGGGGACCTATTCCAGCCCCAGCACAGGCTTTCACTTCAGACAGCTTTATTCTGCTTTTTACCCCAACTCTTTTTTTTTTTTTTTTTTAATTTTTTTTTCAACGTTTATTTATTTTCGGGACAGAGAGAGACAGAGCATGAACGGGGGAGGGGCAGAGAGGGAGGGAGACACAGAATCGGAAACAGGCTCCAGGCTCCGAGCCATCAGCCCAGAGCCTGACGCGGGGCTCGAACTCCCGGACCGCGAGATCGTGACCTGGCTGAAGTCGGACGCTTAACCGACTGGGCCACCCAGGCGCCCCATTACCCCAACTCTTTATTACGGAAAAGTTCAAGCGCACGGCAGAAGTTGAACTTTACGATAATGAACGCCCGTGCATTCACCGCTCGGATTCCACAGTTTATGACGATTTGGCCCATTTGCTTTTCGCATTTCTGTATGTGTGTGAGAATGCATACGTGTGTGTGTGTGTGTGCACATTTTTTCTGACCCATTTGAAAGTAGATTTGCAGACATCAAAATATTTCATCCCCACACACTTCAGCCTGTATCTTTTTATTATTATTTTTTAGTATTTATTTATTTTGAGAGTAAGACCAAGCACGATCGGGGGAGGGGCAGAGAGAGAGAGGGAGAGGGAGAAATCCCAAGCAGGCTCCACCCTATCAGCCCAGAGCCCGATGGAAGGCTCGATCCCACAAACTGTGAGATCATGACTGGAGCCAAGATCAAGAGTCAGGCACGTAACCGAATGAGCCCCCGAGGCGCCCCCAGCCTGCATCTTCCAGGGGCGAGGACAGCCTCCTGTATGACCACTCTACTACAACCAGCATATACGAGAAAATTGACAATAATTCCTACATATAATCTAGCACCTCGTCCGCAGGAAAATTCCCCCAGTTGCCTCTGAACCATCTTTTGTGCCTATTTCGATCAGTTCTTCAATGAGGGAACTAAATCTGCTTCCTATCTGTCGTTTGGTTTGTCTTGTCTTGTTGTTTTGTTTTGGTTTGGTTTCTTCATCCTGTTTTGTTTTGCTTTCCTTGCTACCCGACCTGGCCACGAACTGGCTGGACTTTGGTACAATTCACGTGAATGGCAAGGTGGGACGAGAACAGTTTTGAGGAGGAAAGTGATGAGCGCTGTTTTATAATCGTTGCTACCGGCCCGGAGCACAGAGGAGACGTCAGCACTAAAGATACACACTTGGGAGCCATCAGACCATGGGTAGGAGCTGCAATGTTGAGGGTGCATGAGATCATTTAGGGACATTAGGGTCATTATTACCGTCACCACTGTTTCCTGAGACACCACATTCTGCACTAAGCCTTTTTTTTTTTTTTTTTTTTTACCATTACTTCATTTGCTTACCGTAATCTGGTGCAATGGGTATTATTATCTCCGTTTTCCTGAGACGGGAGCAGTCTCAGAGTGGCTCCCTCACTGCTCAGACGGGTGGGGGCTGCGGTTGGAGCTCTGAGTCTACGGTGCCCGTCGGGACCGCTGTTCCCTGCACCGAGGGGTAGGAGGCCTTGAATGGCAGGAAAGGAGCAGAGAAAGTCCAGAAGAAATGACTTTGGGGAAACCAAGGTGGGGGGGTGGGGAACAAGTTCAAGAAGGAGGCCAGGGCACATTCCTATTTCTCCCTGTCTCGATCTCTCTATAGCTCCTTCAGGACCTCCGCTTCTCAGCCCCTCTGAGCGGCCCCCAGATAGGCTGGTGGACAAGATGGGCATATATCCTCGGTGATAACGAGGAGCGAGCTCCAGTTAAAATCCAGAGTGCATCCGAGCAGGGCACATTCCAAGCTGCCTGCGTGAGGGGAGACCCCTAGGTGGCTTCTGACTGAGCAGCAGTTCTAGAGCAGTGCTGGGGCCACGAGCACAAGAGGAGGTGCGGAAGAAGCCGGTCCTCCTGGAGGGTTGGTGGAAGACGGGAAGAGAGAAACGGGGCAGGTACCACAGGTACCTTTGCTTGTTAACAAAGGGGAGAGACATCAGAGCACTTCTAGTCGGATAAGGAAGACAGTAGACAAGAGGAGCTTAGATATTAAGGCTAATAAGAGAGAAAAGTGTCCCTGGGAAGGCAGGGGTCCCAGCTGAGCCTTTTGCTCTGAAACGGGAGCCGGGGTAGACAGAGGGAGAGCCCAGGGTCTGCCATCCCGTGCGATGGCCTTTGTTGTCTTGTCCAGTAGCAGGGGAGGGGCGCCTGGGTGGCTCAGTCGGTTGAGCATCGGACTCTTGATTTTTAGCTCAGGTCATGATCTCGTGGTTCGTGGGCTTGAGCCCACTTTGGGCTCTGTGCTGACAGCACGGAGCCTGCTTGGGGTACTGGGGACAGTGGAGGTTGGTAGGCTTGGAAAACATGGCCAAGTCTGGCAGTGGCTGCTGTGGAGACGTGGGAGGGAGCTGTCCCCAACAGGGACAGGAAATGGGACCAGGGCTCTGACGGAAGAGCCACCGGGGACAGGGGCCGAGGCCCCCGGAGTGCCATCTGTGGGCCGTGCATACACCAGGTTCTGTTGCTTGGGGCCAGGAGTGGGGACAGTGGGGGACACAGACGGTACCCTTGTCCAGATGTGAGCACACACCAGGGGGGTGTGGTCCAGGGAGTTCAAGATTCAGGGGAGGGAGGGTGTCGAGGCACCAATCAGTAGGAGATGACAACATGGGGGGAGGCAAAGGCAGAGAGGACTGAGAATATGGGGGGGAAGGGTAGAGGGGGAGAAGAACTGAAGACCCCCCTAAGCGGGGACAGGAACCTAGGAGGAGAGCACGAAGGGACTTCATACCATTGGTACAAATCTGATGGTTTCAGGTTTCTGAGGTCCAGTAGTAAAGGTCATGACAAGGTCCAAGGGGTGCCGATGGCTGTGGGTCGCTAAGCTGGGGGTAAATGCAGGTCTGTGAGTGGACAAGGTCAAGCTCCGGGATGCTCCTTCCTCCCTCCTTCCCTACAGGATGTCACCTCTGAGAAATATATGTGGGGAGCCAGGCAGGCCATTACCTTTAGTACTGGCCGGCTGGATGGCGGGGGCGGGGGGCCAGGAGTGAACCTTAACCTTGGGATCGGTGCAGCTCTGACCTGCCCACCCAGGTTTTGGGCAGGTTGGCTGGTCGGCAGGACAGAGATACGGACGCGTGGGCTTCACTCCAGGGAGCAGGCTGAGCCCAGCAGCCCAGGTGCAGGTGGCTCTAGAGGGAAAGTGAAAGGGCTCAGCTGTCCTCAGGCGAGGAGAGACGGCTCGCAGGCTGCTTGTCAGCTGGGAGGGGTGCCGCGTGGGTGTCTCTGACAGTGTCTGACAGAGGGCAGGCTTCCCAGTGGGGCCAGGGCTGGCCCGGCGGAGGCTCTGGATGATGCACAGGGATGAAGGCGTCAGGGCGGGCGGGGGGGGGGGGCACCTGCTTGACAGGGGTCTGCAGCCCCTGGGAGGGGTCCCGGGACCAATTCGAGTGCCGGACTCTTCCGAGCAGGGTTGTGCGTGGTCACCACAGAGACAGAGTCCGGGATGAGGACAGGAGCCCGAGGTGTGTGAAGGTGGGCCAGAGCCCCAGGTGGGCCTGCTGATTTCCTGTATCAATTCCTCTATGGTAGAAATGTTCTTCCTGCATCTATGTGGCCTCCGTTATTTTACCTTTTTTAAAAAGTAATTTTTTAATGCTTGTTTTTATTTTTGAGAGAGAGAAACAGAGCACCAGCAGGGGAGGGGCAGAGAGAGAGGGAGACCCAGAATCCGAAGCAGGCTCCAGGCTCCGAGCTGTCAGCACGGAGCCTGACGCGGGGCTTGAACCCACGAACCGCGAGATTATGACCCGAGGTGAATTCGGATGCCCAACCGACTGAGCCACCCAAGAGACCCCAATATTTTGCTGACCCCAAAATATTACATTTGGGGGCGTGCCTGGATGGTTCAGTAAATTAAGCTCCTGACTCTTGATTTCATCTCAGGTCATGATCTCACAGTCATAGGATTGAGCCCCATGTCGGGCTCTGTGCTGACAGCATGGAGCCTGTTTGGGATTCTCTCTCTCATTTTCTCTCCCAAAATAAATAAATAAACTTTAAAATAAAATAAACTATTACAGTAAACACCATTTTTTTAATTTGAGGGGAAAATAAGAAATTGACCATAAAATAATCACACAATCTTGATTTATTTCAGTGTATTTACTCTCAAGTTGTCACTTTAAAAAAAAATATTTTTTATTGTTTATTTTTAAGAGAGAGAGAGAGACAGAGCATGAGCAGGGGAGGGGCAGAGAGAGAGGGAGACACAGAATCCGAAGCAGGCTCCAGGCTCTGAGCTGTCAGCACAGAGCCCGACGGGGGGCTCGAACCCACAGATGGTGAGATCGTGACCTGAGCCAAAATCAAGTCAAGATGCTCAGCTGGCTGAGCCACCCAGGTGCCCCATCAAGCTGTCACTTTTTAAATGCCAGAGCTTAATTCTGTGTCACTTAAGAAGGATGCTTTCAATTTCCACAGCCAAGGAACTGATGAAAATTCTTGCGTGTTTTTGGTTACAGAGAAGTTTCCGGCAATGCACCCTTGGGCCGTGTTGCCCTCTGCTCCTCCATCCCACCCACTTCCCTTCCTGGATGGGCGTCAACTGACACGGGGAGGATGGACGGGCCACACAGCTCCCTCGTTCTGATGAGGCAGGTGGAGCAGGGTCCACACTGTCAACGCGTGGCTTCACTACATCCGCCTAGAAGCCGCGTTGGCAGAGAAAGGGTGGGTACAAAGTTACCTAACCTTTGGCTTTGCCCCCAACAGCTCCTGTATTGCTCTCTCTGGGCCCTTATGAGCTAGACTGTAACACCAGTGCTAGGAACTTTCTAAGGAAGGCATCCCGCGGGATGTCAGGACCTGGAAGCTGACTCGCTCCAATGGACCATCCCAGGATCCTCGCTGAGGCTTCACATGGCCGCACGGAAACACCTAGAGGGAGGGAAAGGCAAGACTGAGTGTGGTGAGGGCGGCGATGATGTGATCATGAGACTAATAACAAGCCGAGCCATTTGCTGCCCTATGACATCAGCTCTAGAAAATGCTGACTCAATAGACTTCAGTCTAAAAGCTCAACAAATACTTATGGAGGTCTTGCTATGGGCCAAATAACAGGCTAAAGACTTTATAAAATATCCCACTTATGAGCTCCTCGAAACACCAATGGCAAGAAGTCGGTGTTGCCTTCTGTTTTCCAGATGAGGAGGCCCGCTTACGAGAGCTGAGTCATTCACTTCATGTGACACAGCCAGGGCCCCACTGCTCCGCAGAAGCCTCCCAGCATTGTGAGTACTGCGTATGGTCATCCCAATATTTGTGTGTCGTGCTGTGAGAGGGGGCTCGTCCAAATCAGAGCATTCAGCTCTCATTCTGTGAACTTATGTTACAGGGAGAGAAAGAAAGGAAGAAAGAAGGAAGGGAGGGAAGGAGGGAGGGAGGGAGAAAGAAAGAAAGAGAAATGAAGGAGGGAGGGAGGGAGAGAATGAAAGAATAGAAAGAGAGAAAAAAAAGAGAAAAAGAAAGAAAAAAGGAAAGGAAGGAGGAAGGAAAAAAGGAAGGAAGGAAGACACAAGTTTTATCCTTTCTCCTCAGACAACTTTTGTAAAGAAAGCAAGACAAACCAGTTTGAAGAACTTCAGCCTGACATGGGCTGAGATAACACAGGGAAGCAGAGCCATACAACACGGGCCAAAACAAAAACCATGAACGAGATCGCACTGCCTGTCCCGGCGATCGGTGCTGCAGGGAACGGACCTCAGCAATGACCCGAAACCCATCTGCACAGGCGTGTTTATGGGATACGATTTACAAGCTGGAAGGGACCCAACCCCCCAGCCATGAGTCACGAGCACTGGGCTCCGTATCTCCTAAGTTTACAAAACGCCTTCACACGCGCCTTGACTCTTCGGGCCCTGCTCCCGTGAAACATCACAGACTGAGTGGCTTATGCAACAAACATCTACTCCTCTCAGTCCCAGAGGCTGGGAAGTCCAAGGTCAGGGTGCTGGCGGATGTCTGATGGGGGCTCGCTTCCTGATGGCAGCCTTCAGACTGTGTTCTCACCTGGCAGAGAGAGAAAGAGAGAGAGAGAGAGAGATGGCGCCAGTCTGCAGGCTCTGATAAGGGCACTGATCCTGTCACGGTCCCCACCCTCGAGACCTCACCTAACCCTAATTACCTCCCACGGGCGCCACCTCCAGGGACAACACACTGGGGGTTTCGAACGTCAGGGGGACACAGACACTCAGTCCATAGCGACAGCGCTGTGTGCTTTGATCCTCTCCAAGCCCCTTGTCAAGTGAAGGTCGAGGTTGAGCAACGTCCCCTCCTGGCCTCAGACCTGGGGTGATACCACAGGTGAGGAAACAGAGGAGAGAGAAGCCAGGTGAATGGTGCGCTCATCTTGTTCCTGCCTGTGTTAGGGGCTCTCTGATCCCTGTTTTATTAGGTGACTGCTGCCCGCTCAGCACCCTGGACCCGCCTCTCAACATACTGCTCTGGTGACATCCGGTGATCGTGGTCCCCTGCCCCCTTGGCGTGTCAGGAATTGTGTCCTTACATATTCTTCCCTTTGCCCGTGACACTGGGCGCCTGGTTAATATCTCCTGCTGCTCCAAGCCGCTGCCCAGACAACACGTTATCCCGAGAGCCTTCGCTGTAGGACATCTTCCCTTGGAAGGAAGCCCTGAGCACCTTAGCACAGGGACCTGCAGGAAAGCACAGCTGCCAGGGACCCCAGACCATCCAGAATCGGTGCTTTTTTGCTCCCTCCCTCCCAGAAGGGATGGTCAAGATAAATTCTAGAATGTTCCCTGTCCCTGCTGGCCTGGCCACCTGCAGAAACACAGGCCAGCCTCAACAACCAGCACACCCGAACCCTCATCCCCACTGTGCCAGGGCCCCGTCCTCTGTGCCCTTCTCTGTCTTCCCGTATGCCTTCAGGGAGCTCACACAGAATCCTCATTTTATGTATAATCCACACCAGCAGCTCCAGCCCAGAAATCTCCACGAGAGCCCGGGATTCATCGAATCCTAGCATCTAGTCAATTTCTGCACTCAAGCTCAAAACCAAACTCATGTGTCCACTCCTCCCCCCCCCCCACTCTGGTTTTCTACACTCACTCCCTGGTCACAGTAAGTGACCGGCTGATTATGGTGATTGCTCTAGCCAGAGAGGCAGTGTGGGAGGCAGGGAAGCCCACAGGTGGCCTGGGTTCGAATCCTGGCTCTCCCATAAACTGGCTGGGAGACTTTGGGCAGCTTCCTGAACAGCGGGAGCCTTGGGAAGAGGGTACTGCTGGAGCCTTCCTCATGGAGTTGTCATGAGGATGTAACTGATTAATACACGGGCACCGCTCAGGGATGTGTCTGGCACCTTGGGAACATCTAAATAAATTCACGATTATTATTATTTATTTATTTATTTAAAATGTTTTTTTATTTATTTTTGAGACAGAGAGAGACAGAGCATGAGCAGGGAAGGGGCAGAGAGAGAGGGAGACACAGAATCCGAAGCAGGCTATAGGCTCTGAGCTGTCAGCACAGAGCCTGACGCGGGGCTCCAACTCACGGACCGTGAGATCATGACCTGAGCTGAAGTCGGATGCTTAACTGACTGAGCCACCCAGGCGCCCCAATTCACGATTATTTTTACTGTGACATCTCTCAGGCCCCGCTCTGTTAGTTTCCAGGGGCTGCTGCAAGGAATCAGCACAAATCTGGTGGCTTGAAACAGCAGACATTTATTCCGTCACCATTTTAAATGCCAGAAATCTGAAGCAGGTTCCAGGCTCTGAGCTGTCAGCCCAGAGCCCGACGCGGGGCTCGAACTCACAAACCGCGAGGTCATGACCTGGGTGGAAGTTGGACACTCAACCGACTGAGCCACCCAGGTGCCCCAGGGATTTCCGAATTCTGAGCCTGGATATTTCCCTGAGACTGTGGTCACGACATACAGGGCAGGGCCCAAAGAACTGCCCTGTGTCCTCAGGCAGACACCCCCGCCCTGGCCTGGACGTGTGTGACTCTCCAGGTCACACAAGGCTGGCGAAGGAGACTTAGTTACGAGATGATCCGTAAGCACCGTGGAAACAGGAGATTCTGAGCAGCGTTCTGAATAGTGGTGTCTGAGGGAGAGGAAGAGCAGCGACTGATAGAGCCCGGGTGGGGGGCTCCCTGGGTTCCCCGGGGCAGGGACAGGGGGCGAGCATCCAGTGGGAGCGCAGAGCAGACCTTCCTGGGGTGTCAGGGCTGATGGGTCTTCTTTTCCCGCCCCGCCGTTGCCTCTCTGATGTCCCAGGCCGCTCTCTGCAGAGCAACTCCTTCCTTCCTCCTGAGAGCTCCCAACACAAGTGACAGGGTGTGTCCAGCCCCTCAAGCATCAGAGACAAGACCCAGGCCTCCCTGTTCCTCCATTCAAATGTCTCCTGGAAAAGGCTGGTGTTCCTTGAGAGAGGCTAGCGCAGAGGTCCAGCCAGGGCCAGGAAACCTGCTTTCCCAGAAGACACAGTGGGTTGGGCCCCAGACCCGAGCCTATGGCGGGGACTAGGGATGACGTGTGGGGAGCTCCTAAAATCAGGGACAGTTACTGCACAGCCCCCAGAGGGCCAGGTGCCCTGGTGGACCATCTCAGGTTTGCTCTTGGAGGCTGGAGCTAGGACCTCTTGCTCACCTCCTTTCAACACGTTGGGCTTTGGGGCCCCTGGGTGGCTCGGTTGGCTGAGCATCCGACTTCGGCTCAGGCCATGATCTCGAAGTTCGTGAGTTCAGGGCCCACGTCGGGCTCACTGCTGTCAGCCTATTGGTGCAGATCCCACTTCGGATCCTGAGTCCCTCTCTCTCTGCCCCTCCCCCACTTGTGCCCAGTCTCTCTCAAAAAATAAATAAAATATTAAAAATATGTATACATTGGGCTTCTCCTTACATTTAAGTATCCTTTCCTGTGCTGCACCGTCTTGTGGCGTGCATCCCACGGACGGACACCATACGGGTCGGGGACAGCGCTCGGTGCCCAGCCTGATGAACGGCACAAAGGCCCCTTGCTGTGACCCACACCACGGGGTTTGGTTGGGCCATGAAAGCCAGTGCATCTCATTAGCCAATGACGTGAGATTCCCCTCTCTGCAACAAAGTAGGTCTTTTTTTTTTTTTTAATTTTTTTTTTCAACGTTTATTTATTTTTGGGACAGAGAGAGACAGAGCATGAACGGGGGAGGGGCAGAGAGAGAGGGAGACACAGAATCGGAAACAGGCTCCAGGCTCCGAGCCATCAGCCCAGAGCCCGACGCGGGGCTCGAACTCACAGACCGCGAGATCGTGACCTGGCTGAAGTCGGACGCTCAACCGACTGCGCCACCCAGGCGCCCCAACAAAGTAGGTCTTTTATTTATTTGTTTAAAGTTTACGTATTTAAAGAGAGCGCACGAGCAGGGCAGGGGCAGAGAGAGAGGGGGCGATTGAGAAAATCCCAAGCAGGCTCTGCAGTACACGCGGAACGGCAAGATCATGACCTGAGCCCAAACCAAGAGTCAGTCGCTTAACCGACGGAGCCACCCAGGCGCCCCAAGGTAGGTCTTCTGGAAACCCTGCCTCTCTTCTTCGGGATATCTTGGGGCTACTTACCTGTGGCCACAGGTGGATCCCAGCTCTGGCCAGGACTGGACCACAGCCTCGAGACCGGGCAGACCCTGCCTGGCTGACTGAATTAGAGCTCAGCTGCCCTCCCTTGTCCCGCTGTCCCTTCCCCTCAGCGGTGCTGACAAAGTTGGATGCATGGAGGCCTTGGCCCCTGGACTCCTGCCCCCCACCCCGCGCAGGCCAGCCTGGTGTCTTCCCTGGGGAGAGGCCGGACCTGCGCCTCCATGGTGACCCTCCACCCCGGAGCACCAGCTCCTGCTCTGGGGGCCTCTTGTGTGTCATTTGCTTGTAGCCAGCTGCTGCCCCGGGGTCGATGGAAAGCAGGGTGACTTCCCAGTCCAGGTGCTTTACACCCTGAGTTCGTTTTGACTGCCCACACTCGCCTCGAGGTGGCAGAGACAGCAGGAAGGGATTCCAAGAGGCCTGACTCTGTGTCACCCAACCACCTTGTTATGCCCATGAACTCAGGAGCCAGTATTTCATAAAGGGCATCGGGTGGGGGGCAGGCTGTCCTCTGCTTCTTGATGACTGAAGCCTCAGTTGGGAAATCTGGAATGACAGGGACGACCCAGGCAGCTGGCCTGACGACGCCTTCCCAGGCGGCTCCCCTCACCTGTCCGATTCCCGCTCTGGGATCACTGAAGGTGGGCTCCTCGGGGAGCAGTGCACCCACCCTCGGTCTCCCCCGGGCAGCCGGTCCCAAGAAGTACGTCCGGAGAGGACACTGGAGAGAAGATTCGAGAGAGCTGCGTGGACTTTTCCGACCCGGCCCGGGAAGCGACAGCTGACACTCCTGCCTCATTCTGCTGGTTGAAGCAGCAACAAGGATCCTCAGATGCAAGGGGAGGGGGCCCGGGCTCCACTTGCAGTGAGAGGAATGCCCAGGACAGCGGATGAGATAACGCATGTGGTGGCGGCCATCTTGGGAAAGCAGAATCTACTACCCCTTGGACCTAACACTTCCCCCCGAGCTGTCAGCTCTTGTGTTCGACCTGGGAAGGACCAGGGCCCAGGGAAGGCTCCTCCCCAGCTGCTGGGGAGAAGGGACACAAATACAGAGCTGTGTCCACCAGCACCTAAGATGGGTTGGCTGCTTTTGCTGATGTCCCCTTTCTAACGTCCCCCCGCCCCAACTACAAGGTTCCGCAAATCTTCTATAGCATCCTCCTGCTAGGGAGACACAGAAGGGACCAGAGCTTTAAAGGGTGGGGTTTTGGGGGTGCACGAGTGGCTCAGTCGGTTAAGCATTTGACTTCGGCTCAGGTCAAGATCTCATGGTTTGTGAGTTTGAGCCCAGGTCAGGCTCTGTGCCGACAGTTCAGAGCCTGGAGCTGCTTCGCATTCTGTGTCTCCCTCTCTCTCTGCCCCTCCCCTGCTCGCATTCTGTCTCTCCTTATCTCTCAAATACCAAAAAGCATTAACATTTTTTACGGGTAGAGTTTTTGCTGGGGGTGTCGACTCATTTCAAGTTTTCAGAGCCCATTTCCCTCAGGAGTCAGGTCAGAGCCCCTTCCGTCTCTACACCCCCAGCGTGGCCAGATGTGCGAGGTGATCATGGAATGAGCCTCAGTCTTGAGATCAACGTGGCCGAATGTACCTTCTTCCCCTCTGCCAGCAATCGCTGTCGGAGTTCTGACACTTGTCACCTTGGGCACCTGGGGTGTCTTGTGTGTCTCCCGGGAGAGGCTCTGGGGAGCCATGACCGGCTGTGTGTGTTTGGACTCATCAGCTCTGGAAAAGACAACAAGCCGTCGTGTGTGGACCGAGAATTGGATGCTCCCCTTCCGGAAACGTCCATTTCCTGGGAAGTAGGCGTGTTGACTCTTCGTGCTGGATTCCTTCCATCGGCCCCTCCGGATCCACTTGCCTCCTGCCCTCACTGCTCTGTGCTCCCGGAGACTGCAGAGGACGGGCCACATCGGTACACCTTCTTGCCACCAGGATTCCTGCCGGGCTCACACCTGCCCGAGATCAGAGGAAGGAGCGTGGCGTCAGACACTTCTCCCCGGTGCCATCCCAAACTGGCTCACTTTGGAGGTGGTTTAGTGCCGTATGCTGCTGGTAGATGAAAATAGACTACCGCGGTCCGGCAGCCCCACCCGGGCGGGACCTAAGATCGGGGAGAAGGAACATTCTCCTCAAGGGCAGAGCTGTGGGCAGAACGTGGCCGTTCACTTCGTACGGGGAGATACGAGGTCCGGATCTCACCATGTGCAGATGTACACGGACCCCAGCACCTTGGCAAATGGATGAGCCAGTTGGCCACGGCCTGAGAAGGGGCACGACTGGAATACGAAGCAAGGAAAGCTGGGCA